CAGAAAACATATGGGGGTGCATCGCTGTTTTAGATAAATTGGTCTCATTCATATCTCTGCATAAATGTAACCTTGGAGGTGAGATATGAGTAATGAGAAGAAGCCAGACATGAGACTGTCAGGGGAAAGGGGACTTGGAGCAGAAGGAATGGTCAGTGAGGTGAACAGATGCCTGACTTGTTAAGGAGCCACAGGGGGGAAGTTGGCTGCTGTGGATAAGTGCAGAGGGGATGCTAGGGATGTGGAGAAACGTCAGGAAGTGGCACGGAGGCTGTGGTAACCAGAAAAATAATACTGCATTTCAAGTGTTATGGGGGGCCACAGAGGGCTTTAAGCTGGGGAAGGAAGTAATGGGATTTTACCTGAGAGAAGAAACTACCTTGGCTGCTTTATGGAGAACACCGTAGGAGGGCGGACTGGGAGCATAGTCACGTACCAGGGGACGCAGGGACTGACCCCGCCAGTGGTCTCTCTACATGTTTGTTTCTATGGGACAACCAAATATATAAAAAGAGAAAACATAGGTGGGGACAGTCCTTGACTCACCCTGGAGGCTCTTGGTGTAGATGAGTTGAAAGATTATGGCAATTTTAGGTATAAAAACTTTACCCCCCATTTTTCTAGAAGTTGGGACAGAATTAGGCTCTTTTTACAGTAAGTCTTCAGTAAAGTTTGGGGACTACAAATAATTGAGAGAAGTTATGCAATGCGTGGGTTTGGATATTTACTTATCATGTGCCTGGAGCTGACCCTGGGCCTTTGCATGTGCTCTTCCATCTGTAATGCTCTCCTCTCATATTCATTTTTGCTCATTACTGAAATCTCAACTCTCAGACCCATTTTCCAACAAAGACTGGGTCATGTGTCTCTCCCATAAGCTCTCATTTGCCCCTAGGTGTATATATCTTACATCTCATAATTGTTCTGTTATTTTAGTTGCCAGTTCACTTTCCTATCTTTCCCGTGCAGGGGTGTCCAATCTTTTTTCTTTTCAGCTGCACATTAGAAGAATAAGAGTCGTTTTGGCCACGCACATTAAATACATAAGCACTAATGAGAGCTGATAAGCAAAAATAAAAAGGTCCTTGCATACCTTTCATGATATCCGACACCACAACCAAAAAAGTCCTCACAAAATCAGCATGCGGCCTGTGGGCCACAGCTGGGACACCCCTGCATTTAAAATCTTAGATGCAGTATTTTTCTCAACTCTTTCTTTGCACTTAGAATTAGATAATTAAAAAATATTTGTGAATAATCAATGTTTGACTGTGTTTGTTAAATACATCTGAGTTACCTGATTCTGAAAGAATCTGAAAGATTCTGAAAGAATCAGGTAAGAAGAAAAGAATCATGTGGGGAAAAAAAAATTCTATCAATAGGTTAGAGTAGGTAATTTCCTTACCCCTGCAACACATAACAAACAAAATATCTGTGTTTGATAATTAAAAAAAAATTTCACACCCCCCACCAGCTTATACTAATGGCTTTTTTCATCATCAGCGATAGATGGTGGAAGGGCTGCTTGGAATTCCTTAGTGTGGAAAGGGTGTGGCTCTCCACTGGGGGCTTGTCATTGCCCTCCCTGGGAACTTGGGGCAGTAAAGCAGCAGGTGAGGAGGGAGTGATCTCAGACAGGGCTCTCTAGGCTTCGCCAACACCAGGTCCAGCTGGGGCTCAGGGAGGGGGTTTCCTTTTCATCGTCACTACTTCACCATCGCCATCACTGGTTTCTTTTCCGTAGTGCTGCTGACTTGTAAAGTAGGTGAGACAACAGTGAGACGCAAGTTCATGACTTGTTACCAATATCGTCTTGAACAGCGTCAGTGGGAAGAGCATCAGATCTGCAGTGCCCAGTAAGATCGAGTTTTCCCCTTTGTGAGGCGATTCTCAACCTGGAACATAAGCCCTTTTCAAACTGCTAGACCTAAACCTTTAAGGTGGAGTCAGCCGAGGGGCATAAGAATCACCTGGAGAGTGTCTGCAAGCCAGATTCCTGGACTCCACTTTCAGAGTTCCTCTTTCTGTAGGTTCTGGGGAGTGGCCTGAGAATTTGAGTTTCTAAAAATCTCTCAGGTGTGACAAGTTCCTGGCCCACTCTTTTTTTGAGACAGAGGTAGAGTACTGTGGCGTCACAGCTCACAGCAACCTCAAACTCTTGGGCTTAAGTGATCTCTTGCCTCAGCCTCCCAAGTAGCCGGGACTATAGGCGCCCGCCCCAAAGCCCACCTATTTTTTTTTTTTTATTGTTTGGTTGTAGTTGTCATCGTTGTTTGGCAGGCCCGGGCCAGGTTCCATCCCACTAGCCCCGGTACATGTGGCCGGCGCCCTGGCCCACTCTTTAAGCAGACAAGAGCAGACCTTGTGTTTCCAATTTCTGTTTACTTCAAGAGCATGTGCTTTCTCTTTCCCTAACGCTAATACTACATGGGGCTGTTCACTGCTGGGGTCTCGGGAATATGCGCCACACAGCCTTGACCCAAACCTTCCATCTGCTTACCTGGTCAGTGTCTTACTGTGTGCTGGGATCCCCTCACTCTTGTGATAAAAAGACTTTTGTCTGCATAGTTCGGCTTGTTTTCTCTTCTGTTTTGTCTCTCTCTCGCTATGTGGTTGATGTGAAGTTTCTTGAATTTTCTGCCAATCCCTTTTATATATGTATCTATACTAACTAATATCCTTCCCTCCGTCTTTATAACAGAAGGCCTTTTTGATTCTCTCACAGATCAATACTTCCCACTCATTCTCATTATTCCTCTACATTTAACACGTATCTTTTAAAATATTTTTATAGCCCTATAAAAGTTCCATTTGTGATACTGTCCGTCTTATTGCTTTGCTGCTCTGTTTCTTCATATTCATTTGATATACTACTATCAGAAAACATTGTTGTAAATATGCTTACAGAACTACATAAAATATCTAAGCTACGGAGCCTTTCCTCTATATCCTCTTAACCAAACTCAGTCTCTGTAAGTAGAAGCGATATCTTTTAGCTTCTTGGAGACTGGATCTATCCCCTGTGACTTCTCAATGTATTTTTTCCTAATTATTTTTTAACTTAGGTAGAATATACATTCAGTAATATTCACCCTTCTTAATGTCCAATTAATGAATTTTGATAAACACATATAGTTATGTAACTACTACCACAATCAAGATACAGTCCCAAACCCCCCTTCTCCTGCAAATTCCCTGTGCTCCCCTGTAGCAATCCCTCCATTCTACTCCTAGCCTTGGCAGCCACCAAGTCTGTTTTCTGTCCTTATAGTTTTGCCTTTTCCAGAATGTAGAATTATGTATTACGGCCTGGCATGATGGCTCACGCTTGTAATCGCAGCACTCTGAGAGGCTGAGGTAGAGAAAGATCTCATACATTGTAATCAACACACCTAATCAAAATGTTCAATTCCTGAGCGCAGGACTCTGAGACCAGTCTGAGCTGGAATGTCTCTACTAAAAATAGAAAATTTAGCTGAGCCCTGTGGTGGGAACCTGTAGTCTCAGCTTCTTGGCAGGCTGAGGCAGGAGGATCATATGAACTGTGGAGTTTGAGGTTGCTGTGAGCTAGGCTGATGCCACTACACTCTAGACTGGGGCAACAGAGTGAGTTTGTCTCAAAAAAAAAAAAAAAGAATTACACATTGGGTGTGAGTCTAGCTTTTCTCTTGGAATAATGCATTTATGATTCATACATGTCCCTGCTTGTATGCATAGTTCCTTTTAATTGCTGTGTAGTGTTCCGCTGTGTGGCTGTACCACAGTTGTTTATCCATTCCCCATTTTTTTTTTTGAGACAGAGTCTTACTATGTCACCCTCAGTAGAGTGCTGTGGCATCACAGCTCACAGCAACCTCAAACTCCTGGGCTTAAGCAATTCTCTTGCCTCAGCCTCCTAAGTAACTGGGACTACAGGCGCCCACCACAATGCCCGGCTATTTTTTGGTTGTAGTTGTCATTGTTGTTTAGCTGGCCTGGGCTGGATTCGAACCTGCCAGCCTTGGTGTATGTGGCCGGCATGCTACCCATTGAGTTACAGGTGCTGCCCATTTCCAATTTTTTAAAATTACCATGTCTTCTCCTCCTCTACATTTAAGCTTTGTTGTTGTCATTTGGCTTCTTGGGTGCTAAAAAGCAAATTTCCAAATTTCTTATATGTTCTGGGTGTCTTATTACTCTGTTGTTCTGGGTACAGTGCCATGGCATTATCATAGCTCACAGCAACCTCAGTATCCTGGGCTCAAGGGATGCTATTTTTAATAGAGATGGGGTCTCGCTCTTGCTCAGGGTGGTCTTGAACTCCTGAGCTCAAGCAATCCACCCACCTCAGCCTCCCAGAGTGCTAGGGTTACAGGTGTGAACCACGGTGCCTGCCCCCCTTTTCTTTTCAATTAAAGGAAGCACTTTATGGCTTCTCTTTGGCGAATCTGAATTGCCAGCATTACTGCTCTTGTGCTCTGAAGCCATTGTTTTTTAAAAGTGTATATACACCTACTTTTTGTAGAGAAGATGTTGCCCATGCTGGTCTTAAACTCCTATGGTAGTCTCAAGTGATGCTCTCACCTCAGCCTCCCAAAGCACTGGGATCACAGGCATGAGCCACTGCACCCAGCCTAAAGCCAATACTAAGGAAAATAAGAGTTATTTGAATTCAGCACTGTGGTACTGTGAGGTCCATCTGATCACTCAGCCAGCTACTAAGTGACTGATGGGCAGTGAGCTGCACAGCCTGGACAGGCTGGACAAAGGGATGATTCATGTCCCCCCATAACATTTGCTCACACTACTCAGAACTTGGGCGATTTAAAACTTACGAATTACTTATTTCTGGAATTTTCCATTTAATATTTTAGAGCTGTAGTTGATTGGAGATAACTGAAACTTTGGAGGGTGAAACTGAAGATAAGGGGGACTACTATAGATGAAAGTTAAGTAAAAAAAAATATGGATTTTTAAAAAGTAGATAAGCTGACATTTCTTTTTATCTTTCTTTTGTACAGGTGTCTGCTTCCGAATGGTAAGTTAATACGATCTGGGTTTTTTTTGCCACTTTTTCCTACTGTTACTTCTAATCACAGAGAGTGCAGTTTTCTCCTTGGTGGTAGAGTACTGCTTATTTCCTGTCCTTGACAGCAAGGGAAGAAATACATGAAATTCTTTGAAATTACTGATTGCAGTTACTTCACTACAAGGGAAAGTGTGCTCTCTGTGAGATTTATTAAAGCTAAAAACATTGCCGCTTTTCTGGTTTTTTATTCTTTTTTATTAAATCATAGCTGTGTACATTCATGCAGCCAGGGGGTACAGTGTGCTGGTTTTATATACAATTTGAAATATTTTCACCAAACTGGTTAACATAACCTTCACAGCATTGTCTTAGTTATTGTGTTAAGACATTTACATTCTACATTTTGTAAGTTTCTATGAACTTCAGAACTCTTGGGGTGATTTGAATTGGACCTTTTGATTAGGTGTATTGATTACAATGTGTGGGATCTTTTCCCATGTTCTGAAGATGAAAGAAACCCTCACGATGAGGGTACACGCCTCCCACTGCAAAATGAAAACTCCCAGGATTTGAGAAGCTAAAGGTCCTTGTTGCTTTTTACTTATTATTTACTTATTTACTTATTTTTGAGACAGAGTCTCAAGCTGTTGCCCTAGGTAGAGTGCCGTGGCATCATAGCTCACATAAACCTCCAACTCTTGGGCTCAAGTGATCCTCTTGCCTCAGATTTTCTATTTTTAGTAGAGAGGGGGGTCTCGCTCTTGCTTAGGCTGGTCTGGAACCTGTGAGCTCAAGCAATCCGCTGTGACAGGCCCAGAGACAGGGCCATGATGGGCCCAGAGATACTGGGCTGTGATAGGCCCAGAATGCTAGGATTACAAGTGTGAGCCATGGTGCCTGGCCCCTTGATGCTTTTTAAATTTTTATTTTTTTAAATATTCCTTTCCTAAAAGTTAATTGTATTTTCACCTATTGTCTGAGCTGGTAGTCACTAGATGAGGCTCCCAATCCCGGAGAGCTCCGATATGTTCCTACTACTAAAGTCTCTGTATTTGGAGATAACCCCATCCCCCACAATTCAGATTACCTCCCTTTTCTTTATTACTGAGCACATGCAAGAGCTTGACTTATTTTCAGAACTAACTCCGTCCGTCTTAGCTGCGAGCATTTTGGTTTGTGTTGCTCCATCTGGTTGAGAATGTAGAGTGTGAAACTCTTGAACACTCTGGCCTCCAAGTAGGAGAAGGGTATGGTTTTGAAAAGTTCTAGTATACTAGATCCACAGGAATTTTAGTATGATGTGGTTAAAATAATTCAACATCACAATGTTGCTAGTAATGTAGCATAATTGAATTTGGAACTGGGTAAAAGAATTAAGAAAATAACTATTAAGAATATGTGTAGTAGGGGAGATTAATTTGCCCACAGATAATTATAACATTTCTATGCTAAGTCCAGAGCTAACAGAAAACATCGGGATCTTTTAATCTTACAGTAATTCCAAACCAGCATGTCTAGGCTAATGTTCTTGCCAGTTTAATTTTCTCATTAAAATAGTCTCCCCCATTTTTGCTGGCGATTTTAAAATATGTTAGTTTCCACTTCTGCTTATGGATACTTTATGTTTGTTGATCATAAGTGGATATTTCCCCTCAGTGACTGAGCACCCTAGGTTGATCATTTGAAACCCTGATTGACAATGTAATTTGTTGTCAGCAGGCACGAGGGCAATGCGACTGAATTTGATGGGTCCCCACACATCACAGAAACTGGTTCTGAAACAATTCCCACAATCAGTCTCTCTTTCCAGAGTGTGCTTGTCTTTACTGAAAGTGGAATATAACAGAGGATGTCATTGAAGTGAAGAGTCTCACACACAGCTAGAATGTAGTATTGACGTGGGCTGGGTTTTAGGGGGAAAAGTCATTATCAGGTTAGTGTGTTTTGAATGTTAAAGTATGTTATGAATTCAAACTTTTGATGATGCACTTCATCTCTTTTGTGTTTTCCTGAAACCAGTACACAGAAGGTGAAGCTAAGAAAATTGGCGTGGTTGGCTGGGTGAAGAACACCAGCCAAGGCACCGTGACAGGCCAAGTGCAGGGCCCGGAAGAGAAAGTCGAGTCCATGTGAGTAGTGAGACTCACAACACATGTGACATTTGACATTTGTGTGGCTCTTTGAATGTTTTGTTAGACAATAAGAATAGTATTGATGGACCAGATATCATTTGTAGGTTATAACCGAACTACCATGTTTTTTGGCGAGCCAGTGAAGAAATTCTCAGAGTTGGAAGTGGCATTTCTATGTTTACTAGTGGATTTCCGACTTGGGCAGGCCTCCAGAAGAGCTGTAGCATCACTCCCTTTGTGAGTTTGTCCTGCTGCCTCTCCTCCAGCACGGGGCAAACAGCCAGGGCCCAGGTAGTTCTTATCTAAAGTGTTCTGACAGAAGCACAGTGCTGAGGATGGTTCATGAAGCTCTCAAAGTAGCCTTCAAGGCAAAATAATTTTCATCTCCTTTTTATTGTTTAAGGACTTTATTTACCTAATTGTAATTTTATTTTTACTGTCAGTAAAAGAGTGTCTGGCTGCCATAATATGAGTCCTTACAGTCCAAAGAAGGGCAGTAATATGGGGACAAGTGCCTGTGTACACAATGTCATTTTCAAAGGCCTTGTCCTTTACATTGTGACCTCCACTGCTCTCTGTAGTCTTTTTAAAAATAAAATAAAACAAACCTCTGACATTTCTGGAGGCTTTACAACATGTTGGACAATATACTAACACTTTGCATGAATTATCTCATTTTATCTTCACAACAGATCCAATGAGGTAGTTGCTAAGTAATACCCAATTTATTTTATTGCTTGCAATTTATCTTTGTTTTTATTATTTAATGTTGTCAGATTTCAAAAGCAGTAGCTTTTATTCATTGTGATAATTGAAGAAATGTAATACAGAGGGGTGTTAAGGCAAAGCTATCTACACCTTCTTCCCTTCAAGTCAACTGTGCGATGACTTCGTGAATACTTTCCACAGTTTTCCCTTTCACTTAAAAATATTTAAGTACACATGTATAATTAAGGTTCTGTTTGCTTTTTTACCGAAGTAGAATACTTTATGCATATTTTTTGCACCTTGTATTTTCATTTTATAGCCATTCCTTTTTGAGACAGAATCTCACTCTATCACTCTGTCTCCCTGGGTGGAGTGCTGTAGTGTCATAGCTTACAGCAACCTCAAGCTCTTGGGCTCAAGTGATCCTCTTTGCCTCAGCCTCCACAGTAGCTGAGACTATAGGTACCCGCCACCATGCCCAACTGGTTTTGCTAATTTTGGTAAAGACAGGGTCTAGTTCTTGCTCAGGCTGGTCTTGAGCTCAAGGAATCTACCTGCCTTGGCCTCCCAGAGTGCTAGGATTATAGGCGTGAGCCACTTGGCCTGACCAGTAAATATATTAATATAATTATCAACTCCTTATTTTTTCTAATTTCTTTATGTATAGATGTATACTTGTGTTTGTGTGTAAAACTACGCCCCAACTTAAAAATTGAGGTCTAGAGATTCAGTTTCATAAAATTCAGGCTAACAGTTAATGAAAACAATATTTTTCAGAAGGATTGTCACAAAGTGCAGAGAAGATTGTGAGAGTTAGGTTCTGTAGAACTGATAGATTAATGGACGAGAAAATGAAAAAAGATTATAAGGTAGTTTAAGAATGGAGACTGAGGAGGATGGAAGCTCATGCCCATCACATTATATTCCTAATATATTGATTAACTTACTCTACACAAACAGGATCACATCATACATTCTGCTGATTTTTTTCTTTTAATAACTCCTATAGTCTCTGGCCCCCTTCTCAAGTAACTTATATTAGCAAAATAGTTTGTGTCCTTCTGTTTGTTTCCAAGTACACATTCTCTCTCTCTCTGTCTCTCTCACACACGTACACACATATATGCATGTGCATTTATGGGTTTTGATCAATATTTGCTCTTCAAAAACCGTGGTGTATGCCCTTCTCTGCAACTCAGTTTTATCACTCAACAATACATCCAAGAAAATTCTTCCAAGCCAAACAGTATAACTTTAAAATATTCCACAGTATATAGATGGATTCATTACCTTATTTCTGGGAACTCATTTTTTTTTGTTTCTTAGTTTTTGTGATAAGAACTATGCTGCAATAAACATTTTATTGGTGATTTCATCTTTATGGGATAAATTCCCAGAAGTGTAATTTGTTGGATGAAGTGTAAAAAATATGTAAAAATATTTCAGACTGCTTGCCAAAACAGCTGCAAATAATTTATGTTTTTTCTTCCTCAGCTTGTCAGCAATGCCGGTATTAGTGTACTCTAATTTTTCTTTTATGATTGACTGTAGAATGATTGTTATTTTTTATTGTAATTTGCCTTTCTCTAATTACTCGTTAGTTTGAGCGTCTTTATGCTGTAGCTATGTGGATTTGTTTTCATGAACTCCCTTTTCACATCCTTTATTCCTTTTTCCATGTAGTTGCTTGTCTCTTGCCAATTTTTAAGAACTCTTTGTATTTTGATGATGATTACTAATCCATTATCTGTAGTATCTTTTGCAAGTTCCCCACATCTATCATTTGGCTATTAATTTTGTCTATGATAACATGAAGTGTTTTTCATTTTATTAATGCAAATACGGCTATCTTTTCTCTCTGGTTAAGAGACAGATTGTAAGTGTTGTCTCCTAGGTTTCTTTCTAACTTCCGATGC